GCAGTCTGATAGTTTCTGGGTGTTGCGCCTCCTGATCTGGGAATTGATGCCTAAGGGTCTTGGTTTTGATAACTGGGTCAACGGCTTAGGCTAATCCCCTCTACCCCTACCTCCCTGTGTGAGTCAGTTTCTTGACCTTGTATCTCCTTTTCTCCATCAGTTTCACGGCTGGTGGGGGAGAGGGCTGATGCCATCTCAGGGGTGCTGGTCAATGCCCCCCAGTGCACAGAGCACCCCTCCCCGGAAGACTTGTCCTGTCACTGTGCTGAGGGCGAGAAACCTCGTGAGACACCAGGTCTGGAGGTAAGTGGGTGTCACCCCATACACACTGATGCCGGGGCAGGCATCCTGCAGGAGGAGAGAGGTCTGTGCCGTTTCAATCAGGTGCAAATGTGCAACATTAAGTGGCAGAGTCACGCAGGCTCAACCACAGGGCCGCATTCTGTGCCACGTGTGGTTAGGTGGCTCCATCATCCCGTGACTGTCACAGGCTGTGATGTCCATGCCCAGATGGGGCTACTAGGCACCTGGGCTGGAGGGAGGGGTGCCAGTGTCAAGGCATCTATGAACCTCAGGCAGGCACGCCTGGAAAGCACAGAGATAATCAGCGCAGGATCAGGGTGGGCTGGGCGTGCAAACAGGGGGCCGCAGCTGGGTCGTGGGCTCAGGGCCTGTCTTGTGCTGCTTGTTGAATTATGAGGTGGTTCATGTTAAGGATGAGGTTTTAAGTACCTTGAGGTGAGCACTGGTCCTGCAAAGAAATCACCTGCCTCAGTTTCCCCTGTGGCTGAGCCTCCCCCTGCCTTGCTCCTTGGGGCAATGGTGCCAGGGGATGTCAGGGGCTCCAACTGGGAAAGGAGAGGCAGGAAGGGTAGACCCCAGCCCCCCCCCCCCGCCATTTGTCCTTAAAGGGACCTCTGCCTCACTCTGGTGGCCTGGCCTTGCAGCCTCCCAGCCTCCACAGACCCTCTCTGATCCTTCCTCCCCTCCTACCTGGCATATGCTCTTCATCAAAGAAAAGTCTGGCTTGGCCACTGTGGCTCCCTCCGCCCTCAGTTGACTTTGAGCCTCTGACCTACAGTTAAGCACCCCTAGCCTTCAGCTCCACCCATGCTCCCATGACTTTAGGGGTTCCAGGCGGCCACCCTGTGCCTTATTGACCCCTCAACGCCTGGCTCAGGATGTGAATGAGGGACCCACCACTTCTGGGCCCAACGTCCAGGCACATGCTCCCTCCGGTGCCCAGCTCAGCCCCTCTGCAGGTGGGCATAGACTCCTGCTCACTAACCTCTATGTTTATGGGGCCCCTGTATTCCATGATGTTCCCATCCCAAAAAGGAGTTTGGTGTCAGCCCAGGGCCACACCTGGCATCCTTTGTGGCCCAGTTTGCCAGGGGTGAGCACGAGGTACCCTCTTCCTCAGTGTGGCCTCCGGAACGCGGGCGCAGGTGTCATCGGGGTGACTGTCTCAGCCCTGCCTACACACCTCCCCGACATCCACTCTGGGCCTGGGCTGGCGTCATCCTCCACTGAGGGTGTCCTGACCCTCTTCCCCTCCACCACTGGCAAGCTCCTACTCACCCTTCAAGATTCAAGTTGGTAGAAAAGAAGGGAAAAACAAGAACAAGAGAGAATAAAAAGAGAAAAGAGAAAATATCACAAGAGAAAAGAGACCTAACTCGGCATCGAGCCCTCCAGGAACTGCTTGGGGTGTCCAGATGCTCCCACGCTCTGCTTGTCTTTTAGTGAGACTTAGTAAAACTCGCTGCATTTACTAAGCACACGTGGCCGCACATGCAGCCATGTGGAAATACTCCCCTGATCGTGTTTCTATAAACCACGGAGTGAAAGTGACCTTGGGTGAGCCTTTTCCCTTCCCAGCCTGGGGGGGGTCAGGCGCACTTGATCAAGAGCTGGAAGGTCATGCATTCACTCAGCAAACATCAAGTGGTGCCTGCTCTGGGCCTCCTGCCTTGACATCCTGTTCTTCCCCAGCTATCCAGTCCTGCCGTGGGGAGCAGGCCCGGAGGGGCTGAGAAAGCCCTTTCACTCCCTCAGGGAGACAGTCTGCTTATCATTGTTTCCCAGGCTCACAGACCCCGCGTTTTGGAATATTTTGTCTACTGTGTTCACATTGGTTCTCAAAAACATTTGTTTGGCTTTAAATGAACACACACAACCTGGAAGATTCTGGGGAAAAAACTGGCTTGGTGGTGCATCTTCACTTCTTAAGACACCCACAGTCACGTTGACGGGGCCTCTGGAGAAGCGTGGCGGCGGGGTTCAGGATTTAGTTTTGCTATTCATCGCAAGGCAGAGCTAATCATGACCTTGGAGCTAAAAAAGCAAAGACCCTGGACAAAGCCTGGCTCAGGCACAGGTCTGCTGGGCTGTGCTAGAGGGGGTTAGCACCTCCCGCTGGGCCCCCCGGCCCCGGGTCCTCAGGGGCCGCCCTGGCTGGGTGCACTCTTGCTTCAGGTCCCTGCAGCAGCCCTGCCCGTCAGCCCCCTGCCCCGATGGCTTGTTCCGCTCCAGCCTACCCAGTCCTCATGCAGGAGCAGGGTGACTCTCAGGCCACCCAGTCACCTCACCTCCATTCAGCACATTGTTGCTGCGCTTCGTCTTCGGGGTTCTTGGTCCCACAGGTCCCAGACGATGCCAACCAGCCCCAGCTAGATGCAGAGGGCCCCAGGCAGTGTTCATGTCTCAGTGATGTCTCCAGTGAGCCCCACATCCTGGGCCCACCCCTCTGTTCTCCCAGGAGCAGCTTTCTGCACAGGCTTTGTTCTGGGGGAGCCCCCAGGGAGCTATTTAATCTACTTTTCCTGGGATACAAAAGACCTAAAACCTCCCCAAGTGTGAGCTGAAACCCTCCATTCCCCTCTGCACCCAAACGGCCTGGCCTGGAGCACAGTGACAGCAGGGAGGGTGTCCCCTCCACCCCTGGGCCAGGAGCTGGTGCACCTGGGGTCCTTTGGCACCTCCCCCAAATCTAAATGCACAGAGGGGTCAATGGTGGGGAATGAGGACGGAATCTCATTCTGAAGGGGGACCCTTTTGTGCAGCCCTCCCAGCCCCCCCCTCCACGTAGGGGCCAGAGTGAGCCTCTTAAAAGGCAAATTGGGTCACAGGCTTCCTACTCCCCCCACTGCTTCCCCAGCTGCCCTACAAGACGCCTGCTCGGCCCACCGACCTCCTCTCCCGCCCTCGCCCAGCCTGGCTTCCCGGCCAGCCCCGGGGCCTCTGCAGGAGGTCGCCCCCCCTGGACTGTCCTTATCTTTGTCCTCGCGCCCGCATCTCCGCTTCCGCGCACCTCCAGGCCCGTCCAGGGGAGCCGAGGGAACAGACCACCACGTTCTGCGACTGCAGCTGTCCTGGCCTTCGCCGACTGTCACCGGCTCGGTCATCCAGCTTGTTTATTATCCGCCTTCCCTGCTCCCCGCGGAGTGCGAGGTCCCCCGCGGGGGGCTGTCGGGGCGGTCGCCCCGCGGAGTCCCCTCGGGGTCCAGAGCGGGCTCGGCCTGAGCAGGCGCGGGGCGCCTCCGGCCCCTGAACGCTGAGCCACAGCGAACCGGACTCGAGCCCGGCCCGGGGCGCGCCCCCGGCTGGGCCGGCCGCGATGGAGCGCGCGAGTTTTATCCCCTCGAGGGTCCGCCCGCCCCCCGCCCCCGCCCGGCCCCCCGCCCTGCCCGGGGCGCGGTAAATGCGCTTGGGGGACGCAGCAGCGATGAGAGACACTCACGGGCTGTGGGGAGCCCAGGGTCCCCGCGGGGCCGCCGGCGGGGAGGGGCTCCTGGGGCCGGCTTGGTCCGGGGACCCCGCCGGGAACCTTCCTCCGCCCTCCCCGGCGGTCCCTACCTCGAGATCGCAGAGCGTCCCCCGCGTCCCGAGGACTGGGGGTCGCGGGGGCGGGGAGGGGGTCTAGCGCTCCCCCCGGCGGGGCACAAGTTCACGGTGCCCCCGGGGTAGGGCCGAGGGCACCGGCGGCGCCCCGGGGCCGCGCAGCGGAGGCCCTGCCGCGCGCGCAGTCCGGGGCCGGGTGAAGGGCCGCCCTGGCGCGCGCCGGCGGGGCCCGGGGGCGGCGGGGCGGGGGCGCGGCGGGCAGGGCCGGGGACAAAGAGCGGTCCTGCCGCCGGAGAGCGACCCCCGACCCGCGCCCTATTGTTCGTGGGGTCTCGGGCCGGGCCGGACGCCGGTGCCCAGGGAGGGAGGGGGTTGCCGTGGCCCCGATCGTGGCTATTTGTTTATTTGGGGCAGGGGAGGGCGGGCAGGAGGAGGGGGCGCGGGCTGGGCAGGGCTCGGGGCCCCGATCCGCGCGTCTCCTTTAAGGCAGGCCCGGCCCTACCTTTCCCACCGACCCCTCCCGCCGTCGTACCTGCATTTTAAAAGCACCCTGGAGCCCCGGGATTGGCCGAGGCCGCGTCCTCCGGGCGCAGAAACTTGAACCGCCTATCGGGGGGGCTGGAAGCAGGGGTGGACTGTACCATCTCGGGGCGTCCCCCGCCCGCGCCCGCCCTCCCGCACACCCCCGGAGAGGCCCAATCAGGCGGGCGGGGAGGCGGGACCGCGCGGCGAATGCGCCTCTGGCCGGGCGCCGGGCGGGCGGGCGCACGGCGCGGGGGGACGTCGGGGGCCGCTCGCCTCCGCCCGCCCCCTCGCTCCCCGGGGCGGGGCCGGGCCGCGGCGTCCCGCCCCCAACCCGCCCGGGGTGGGCGGGGCGGCCGGGCTCCGGAGCTGGGCCCGGGGCGGGCCTCCGCCTGCTGCGCCCGAGCCCGAGAGCGCCCGGCGCGGCGGACGCCGAGCACCGCGGTCCCCGCTGCCGAGCCCCAAGCGCGCGGGTCCCCGGGCGGCGCGGCGGGAGGGCGCGCCAGGCGGCGCGGGGGAGGCCGCACACGCCCCCGGCCGCCTCCCGCTCGCGCGCGGACCGGCCCAGCGCAGCCCCGGCGCGGGGAGCGCCGGCCGGGCGAGGGCGCGGACGATGCCGCGGTGACGGCCGCGCCATGGCGAAGCCCCCGGCCGCCTCGGCGGCGGCGGCGTCGGAGGAGCTGAGCCAGGTGCCGGACGAGGAGCTGCTGCGCTGGAGCAAGGAGGAGCTGGCGCGGCGGCTGCGGCGCGCGGAGGGCGAGAAGGTGGGCCTCATGCTGGAGCACGGCGGCCTGATGCGCGACGTGAACCGGCGGCTGCAGCAGCACCTGCTGGAGATCCGCGGCCTCAAGGACGTGAACCAGCGGCTGCAGGACGACAACCAGGAGCTGCGCGAGCTCTGCTGCTTCCTCGACGACGACCGGCAGAAGGGGCGCAAGCTGGCGCGCGAGTGGCAGCGGTTCGGGCGCCACGCGGCCGGCGCCGTATGGCACGAGGTGGCCCGCTCGCAGCAGAAGCTGCGTGAGCTCGAGGCGCGCCAGGAGGCCCTGCTGCGGGAGAACTTGGAGCTCAAGGAGCTGGTGCTGCTGCTGGACGAGGAGCGCGCGGCGCTGGCCGGGGGCGCGGGCGGCGCGGCCGGCGGCGGCGCGGGCTCCCGCAGCTCCATCGACAGCCAGGCCAGCCTGAGCGGGCCTCTGGCGGGCGGCGCGGCGGGCGCCGGGGCCCGCGACGTGGGAGACGGCAGCAGCACGTCGAGCGCCGGCAGCGGCGGCAGCCCGGATCACCACCACCACGTCCCGCCCCCGCTGCTGCCCCCCGGGCCGCACAAAGCCCCCGACGGCAAGGCCATAGCCACCCGCCGGTCCCTGGACGACCTGTCGGCGCCCCCGCACCACCGCAGCATCCCCAACGGCCTTCACGGTAAGCGCGCGCGGCGCGGGCCCGGGCGGGAGCCCTTCCCGGGGAGCGGCCGCCTCTCCGCGCCCGGCTTCCACCTGGCTCCCCACTTCTGGCAGGGAGCTCGCGTGCGCACCCGCCGTGGGGCTTGGGGGTGTTCCTCTGGCCGAGCGAGGGAGCTGTGTGCCTGCCCAGCTCCCAGCCTGCAGTCAGGATCTGCCGGCAGCCGGGCCGCCAGATCCCGGGAAAGTTTGTCGCCCGCGGAGTTGTCAGTGTTGGTGCCCCTCATGGCAGGACCGGAGGGCGCCTCCTGCCAGCCTGGAAAGCCTTAGCGGGAGAGGGAAGTTCTTCACAGAAAACAAGCTAAAAAGCCCGTTGAGCGCCAAAGAATTTCCCCCTTTATGTGGAACAACAGGCGACCCCAGCCCAGAGCAGCCGCCCCTGTGCGCCTTGGCCCGGTTTCCTGGGTGCCTCCTGCGGGCTGGGGGGAGCCCGGGCAAGCTGCGGGGGAGCAGGCGGCAGCTGGAGCAGAGCACCCCGGGCTGGGCGCCTTCCTGGTTTGCTGCGGGTCCTGCCCTCGCAGGGTGGAGGGACCTGTCTCAACCTGGGCGCTCTGACTTTCCAGAAGCACCTGTGTTTGGCGTGCATCCTGGCTCCCCCCCTGCCTGCCGTGCCTCGGCTCTCCCTTGTCCATAGACTGGAAAAGCTCCCTGCCTTGTGGAGTTGCGGTGGAGAGGAAGCCTTTGAGGGGTTTGGCCACCTTGCCGGAAGTGCGAGCTCCTGGTGGCCAGGGTGTGGGGTGTGGGTGGAGGACCTTTGGCCCCAGCCAAGCTCAGCAGCCGTCTCCCCGCCCTCCTGTGCTTCTGTGGGGCCCAGGGCAGAGGGCCCCCAGCAGGGACCTGGGGAGCCGCGCCCCCTCCCCTGCGCAGCTCCCCGCCCCACTGCTCTCCTGCTTCCCTGTTCATCCACATTTTTGGTGGCTTGGCTCCCAGTGCTGGTGGCAATTGCTGCTGCGGGAACTATTTGCCTGAAGGTGGAGATTAAACGGCCCTTTCTGGTTCTCTTAATAGACTTTCTTCCTTCAGAGACAATGTAGCGAGGCTGCCCCTGACTGTTCTTCCCCATAGACAGCCTGCGCCAGGGTGGGCGCAAAGCCCTCTTCCCTTGGGTGGCCTACGGCTTCTGCAGTCGCCAGGGGGTGGGGGCTGGGGTGGGAGTGGGCCCTGGTAGGCAGGATGCTGCCTATCTTCTCCTTTACCCTGCTGGGCCTGGGAGTTCAGGGCAGGACTTGTTTAGTAGGAGATTTTGTTACTGATCAGGGATCAGCCACTACAACTCTGGTTTCGCTTTGTAACTCTGTATCCACCCGGCCTGAGGTTCCTTAACAGCCAGGGGGAGGCTCTCCAAGTTAGGGGTTTGGTGGGTTAGGGATGCAAGGTCTGGGGAGTGAGGAGTCCCAACCTCTTGGGTCTCCCCTTCTGGGGGGCCTGGAGAGGATCAGATTTCTGGTTTCTCCCAGTGCAACACCAGGGAGGGAATGGCTGCTTTCCTGGGGCTGGGGCTGTCTGTGTCTGCTTTTCAGCTGCATCATCAGGACACTTGGCAGAGTGGTTCTCTGTAGGGCACACGCGCTGGGGTGTTGTGGCTTATTCGCTGGGAAGCTTTGTCAGGTTTGGGACAAGGGGACTCGGATCCTGCCTGGCACAGTTTGGGTTCAGTGGTGAATGGGGCCAGAATGGAGAGAATATGGAGCTAGACCTGAGGTTTTTCACCCCTGCTGGGGGTGGGGGGTGTAGGGTGCAGACCCCCCATCCCTCGATAAAGTCCTGTGCACACTTGGAGCAGGTCTGCTGCAGCTCTTGTGGTGGCAAAGCTTTGCCCTGGGATGACAGAAAAATGCAGCGTTATCATCAGACATTTCAGTTACAGGTGGAATGTCAGTGTTTAGTCTTTTAAAGTCGCGTGGCCTTGAGATGTTTCCCAGCAATATGAATAGGATGCCTGGAAACAAGGAAAGTCCCTTCTCTGAAAAACCGCCGTCTGTGCTGAGATGGGTCATTTTAAGCTGTGTGAGGAGCGAGCTGGGGATAAGAGCGACGAGACGCCATCTGGGCCACGGCAAGTGGAGATTCCCACCCTGGGCTTCTGTCCTCAGTCTCTGCTCTTCCTCATAGAACCCCTGTGTCCCCATTTTATAGACCAGCTGTTGGAGGCTCAGAGGGGTTCTGAGCGGCTCCTGGCATCTCCCTTCCAGCGCTGCCCTGGCCTGGCCGCCCGCATCTCTCGCCAGCTGTCACCGTGGCTGCTGTTATTAACCAGCACTCGCTGGTGACTCCCTGCTCTTTATTCCTGACCCAGGCTTGCCCTCGTCCCCTATCCTGGGATGTTTCACTTCCTTATCGGGGACCACCCAGCAGATGGCTGATAACCCCATTCTCCAGGGGGCCTGGCTGTCTCATGTTGGAATCCCCTGCTCTTCCTCTTCTCTCGTCTCAGGCAGGGAGTGTCGCTGAGCCTCTGTCTGCTCTTCCAGAAAGTGGAGCAAAAGTGCCCCCTTTATCCACACGAGGGTCTGCACACAGTAGGTCTCCGTAGTTGTCAGATCCTTGTCGTGAACTCTATGCCAAGGCTCCTGGTGAAAACCCCTGGAGGCCCCTTTGGGGCGTGCCAGAGAGTTGGCTTCCTGACTCTGCTAGCTGCATAGACAGCTTGCCTGCGTGTTGGCGGGTGATCCGTGCCTGGGTAACCTGCTGATGAGTGGGGGTGTGGGATTCTCTGTGGGTGCTGCCAGGTATCTGCAGCCCTGCTGGGTGCCCAGGGAGACCCTGGTAGCTGGTGGGAGGCATCTGTAGTCCAGGTGTCCTTGGCAGGCTGGGCTGGCCTGTGCGTGCATATGCAAATAGTCCTCCACAGAGGGCCGGCCAGGCTGGGTGTAGTGTGGACTAGCGCTCTTTGCTCCACTCCAGGGGGCAGACTGCGGCAGTGGACCCCAGATGCCAGAGAGGCAGGCTTGTCCCCTCGAATTGGTGTGATTTTCAAACAAAAGCATGCTCAGCCCTGCCCCTCCCCCACCGCGAGGCCCTTTCGCCTCTCCGCTGCCCCCTCCCCTTGGGCTACCTCAGCGACCAGCGGAATCCCCTGAGCTTCCGTATGGGCCTGTTTACCCTGAAACATTTGGATTAAAAATCTGGGCTTGTCAAAATAAGAAGGGCTTATTCTCCTGCTTGCGTTTTTGTTGGTTTAACGGGAGGCTGGAGTGAGGGTAATCTGGACCTTTTGAGCCCGAGCAGGCTGGCGCTGAATGTAGGGCTTTTATGAGGGGCCTCTGCTCAGCCTCCTGGGCAGGGCCAGCTAAGAAGGCGCCTTTCCCTCCACCCAGCCCGGCCAGGGGCAAAGGTCAGCAAAGACAATGGGGTGGCTCCAGGAGCCTTCCCCCTCCTGCCCCAACCTGACCCCGACCAGCCTCAGTGGCCTTGGGGTCCGGGGACCCCCGGCTGGCCCTAAGCTGTTTGGTCCTAAGAGGGTGGGGAGGGAGTCCCGACTGTGGTCCTGTGGGTCCCTGCAGTGGGGCGGGGAGTCCCCCTGGCTTCTGGTTTTCCTGCCATCCCTTCTTTGCCCAACTGGCTTCACCCTGCTGCGGTGGCCCCGCCGACCCCTTACCTGGGCCTGCCTGGGACACAGCCTCGGTCGAACACCTTCTGCAGAGCACGATGAGCAAGGAAACCCTCTGTTCATCGTGTTTGGGAATTGCGGGGATTTTCCAGACCATGCTTGTTGACATCACTGGCACAGAGGGTTGGAAGCCGGGACCTTGGGCCAGGTCCTGAATGCTCCGTGGGGGGGTCTGTGGCTCTGAGTGGAGCACCTCTGTCTTGGAACTCAACCCTCTCCTCCCAGCATGGCCCACAGTACTGGTCGTGCTGAAGGGCTGCGTAGCCTTCTGGTGAGGGCTCTGGCTCCAGCTCAGGCCTCCAGGCCTCAGTTTCCCCATCTATGTCCTGAAGCTAACAATACCCTGGACCTGAACCCTTAAAGGATGGGTTCAGTGGCCACCCCCCCACCCCCCACTGTCATCTGAACCCCTGCAGATTCACCTCCTTGCTTTGCACAGGGGTGCTTGGAGGGGCCTGTGTCAGAGCGTGTGAGGCCTCAGGGCCAGGTAGAAGGAAGCTGAGTCCAGGCGCAAACAACATGGCCAGGTGGATTCTGGAGCATGGGGGGCATAGAGGTGGGGTCATAGGGACTAGAAGCCGCTTTGTGTGAATGGTAAAAAACAGAATGTTAAGGGGGAGAAGAACCTCGGGGCCTGGGAGCTGCTGGGGTGGGGGAGGCTTGGCTCTGTGTACAGCCTCCCAAGTACCCGCAGTCTGACTCAGGTGGCCCGGGCAGACCATGTAGCAGGTGTGCCACACCGGCCAGGAACTTGGCAAAGGGTATTCCTGAACCCTCTGTCATGGGACACCCCAGATAGTTGCAGGGATCTCTCTGGTTGTGTTTAAGGAACCGTGGGGGGGCAGGAGGATGGGACCGTGTTACTAAGAGACTTTGCCTTTCAAGGGGGAACCTGAGTAGCTGTGGCTGCATAGCTGGTAGCTCGGGGTAGCTTGGGGTTCGGGAATGTTAATCCTGTGATGGTCATGGAGTGGTCTGGGGCTGCACGGGGCAGCGACACTGGCCTCGGGAGAGAACCTTTGCGGGTTCTTATCAGGCAGGTTGCTGCCCCATCTCTATCGGGCTCCTCATGACCTCTGACCTCCAGGGTCAGTCCTGAGCTATGGGTGGGACAGCACCATGGGCCATGTGCTGGTCACTGCAGCCGCGTCACCAGCCAGGCTGCTTTGCCCCAAAGCTGGGCAGGGTGCTGGCACAGGGCCAGGGCAGACTCCCTGCAGGGTCCCCCGGAGCTCACTGGGAAATAGGCAGTCCCCATCCTTTGGCCTTGCCAAAGCACTTGGATGGGACGCTTCTTTGATCATGTCAGGGAATGGTCCCCCTTCCAGTGCCAGTCACACTCACCTGCTCTG